CTATCGAGCAAGTTTTATCGGAATTACACAGTATTTCTTCACTGAAAGAAGAGCAAAACACTGCTCTGGAGGCTTCTCCCGACTGGTTTCGGCAAGAGTTTGTTCTATCAATTGGCTCCTCTTCGTCGTCACTCTGTTAGTACGTCATATGCTTCGTTGATCTGACTGGTCTATTTGGCCCGTCTATCACCAACATAGGCCAATCAGCTAACCAGTATTTTCGCCCCTTTCCAAAATTACTTCAACAGAAGGTTTCCAGATGGATATGCGAAGAAAATCCTTCTGGCGGAGTCAGGTTAGGCCCAGACATCCCTCTCCATAGCCACTTGGACCAGCTTGTGCGGGGGAATCCCAAGGTTCTCCCAGGCCAGCCAAGAAACATAGTCCCTCCAGCGTGTCCTGGGTTTCCCCCTGGGTCTCCTCCTGGTGGGATGTGCTTGGAACACCTCACCAGGAAGGCATCCAGGAGGCATCCTAACCAGATGCATGAGCCACTTCAACTGGCTCCTCTCGATGTCGAGGAGCAGCGGCTCTACTCTGAGTCCTCCCCGGATGACTGAGCTCCTCACCCTATCTCTAAGGGAGAGCCCAGACACACTACGGAGAAAACTCATTTCAGCCGCTTGTATCTTGGATCTCGTTCTTTCGGTCATGACCCAAAGCTCATGACCATAGATGAGGGTAGGAACGTAGATCGACCAGTCAATCGAGAGCTTTGCCTATTAGCTCAACTCTCTCTTCACCACAACAGACCGGTACAGCGCACGCTTCACAACAGACACCGCACCAATCCGCCTATCGATCTCCTGCTCCATCTTCCCCTCATTTGTGAACAAGACCCCAACATACTTAAACTCCTGCACTAGGGGCAGTACATCCTCGGCTTAAGAGGCAACATTAAATAATATAGTTAATAAATGAACTGTTGTATATGTTCATCAAATATGGTTTCCAAGTTGTTTGGGGTTTGAGTCAGTCCACATCTTCCACTGTAATGGCCTCTACTACAGTAAAAGGTCTCCAAAGGCCAATGTGCCATAGTGGCAGTTCAGAGGTAGCATCGTTTTTTTTTTATTTTTTTTTTTATCGATATTAGGAACTGAAAGATCAATATTATATCAAGCAGCCGAAAATCACAATATATCACCAAACCGATGTTTCCCACACCCCGAATAAATACACAACCTTAACAGAAAACTGCTTTATTTATTGTAAAAATATATATTTTTTTATCTGCCTTATGTACAATTCTTCAATTAATTTACACCCATACTTATTCAAACTTTAAGAAACAAAAGCTTAAAACGTCTTGACTTGATGAAGGAAATCTGTGTATCTCTTTAATGGGGCCACATAGATTCCTCTAGTGTCATGTTTGGTGGTCAGATGAAACAAGAAAATAATGAATGAACTGCTGTAAGGGGCGTTAAAAAGTCGTTGATAAGTCTCAGACTTATCATTTAAGCTACCTGATCTAGGATGGATAGATAAAACTACGGAAGAGGATTAGGGCCACTGGAAAAAAAAAAAAAAAGTAAACTGATTTTTAAATTTTATTTCAGTTTAACATGGGAAAAAAGTCAGAATTCTGACTTTAATCTCAGAATTCTGAGAAAAAAGTCAGAATTCTGAGTTGTTTCCCATGTTAAACTGAAATAAAATTTAAACATCAGTTAACTTTTTTTTTTTCCAGTGGCCCTAATCCTCTTCCGTATAAAACACTTCAGGAAAAACAGAACCTTAATCAAGCACATTGTAATTAAAACTTTTTTTTAACCTACCTAAACTCCAAAAACAAAATAAAGTTA